GAACTAGCAGTACTAGCAAAATATTGGGGGCCACTAAAAGACCTGGCCCAAGGTCAGCCCATCATAGTCAACTGCACAAATTCCTGAGGAAAGGAACCATCGAGGGCACACAAGCCACCAACACCAGATGGGGAAGATGGGAAGACATCCTGCTGGACCCAGGCCTAGACATAGGCCCAGCACAATTTTCAAGAGATGAAACCTAGTACCATTCAGACCAAAGAGAAAACCTACGAATGGGTACTCTACACAGATAGATCAAGGAAAGGCCCTGATGAGACAGCATGTTGGGGATACATCTTGAAAAAAAATGAAATGGAGCATCATCGAGTCAAAGGGAAGGTGAGTGGAAGTGCCCAGGCTAGAGAAGTGACTACAGTATTGGAGGGCTTGTTAGAAAGGAAAATCAAAGCCTCAAGGATAGTGACAGACAGTTACTATTGGCACGGCCACTTCCTCTTTCACTCAGCTCCGACTCTCCACCTGCCTCGCAGCTCCTCCCCTCAGCGTTCACTCCGGCAAAAGACTGTCCAGGGCCRCTGCTAGGGTAAGACGTACTTAAACTTAACCCATTCATATTTTTCTCCTGTCTAAAGCGCTTCTTATTTTTTTTATCCATTTGATCCCGCGCCTCCCTCTCATGCATTTTAGCAGTTGGCTTCAATCTCTTCAGCTCAGTCTTGTGTCCTCAATAGCTGCCTACCATGGGTGTAACCACCATGGGTTCGGGGTGGACCATGCCCCCCCCCCCAATTTTTTAGCTGAAGTACATAAAATAAAATAAAAATAAAAAAATAGTAATAATAAAACAAAGAATAAAAATAATAAAAATAAAAGTGTCCCCCCAATTTTAAGGTGGTGTTTACGCCCTTGCTGCCTTTATCACACACAGTCATACAGCAGCCGGCCTTCATCTACTGGCATTCAGTCAGCTTAGCAGCCGGCCTTTACCTACCGGCTCCCTCAGACATCTTGGCAGCCGGCCTTCGTCTGCCGGCATTCGCAGACAGCCGGCCTTCATCTACCGACTTGCACAGGCATCCTTGCAGCTGGCCTTCATCCACCAGCTCTCGCCGTTTATTGGCAATCCCTCTACACCACTCATCTTGACGTTCATTCTGCACTCAGTTGATGTTGTGTGGCTTCGACCTGAATCTCAGCCTTTCTTTTTGGGGTTCATAGAAAAACACCTATTTATGTACTCCTAATTTGTCGGCTATCCCTATCATGTATCATCTTTCTCATCATTCCCTAAATTGCATTCAGGTCCTGCTAGTTTAACGTGGCCTCAACCTCCTTGGCTTTGGCCTCTTTTTGGGGGATTAAATCTCTACCCCTAACTAAACCATCTTGTATGAGATTACAGCTTCACTCAGCGCTATCGTCTTCGGCCGTGGTCCAAGCGCCAAACTAATGCCATTTATGTCATAACATTGTTGGTCTGGTCATGTCAATAAACCTCCTAAATTTCATTCTGTCTCATGTGTCTTTCCAGGTTGAAATGGAGTTTAAACGTAAATTCAACTTGGAAGACTGGTAAACTTACCTGCTCCTGCAGACCCCCATCACAAACTCAGCTACGTCCAATCAGCCCCTGTCTGCCAGTAAATAAAAGCCAGTCACCTCGATCACTCAGTCTGCGTGCCAGCTGACTGTCGGCCCGCTACCACTCCTCCTCCAGCATTCATCTTCTGAAGTGGGTGAGTCTCGACTGGTTCTTCCAAATTCTGCCGTGTCTCTTCCCGTCCCTCAACCCAGCCGGTCGAGGCAGATGGCCGCCTGTCCTGAGCCTGGTTCTGCTGGAGGTTTCTTCCTGATAATAGGGAGTTTTTCCTCTCCACCATTTGCTCAAGATGGGACTCTGTGATGAAGTCATTCAATACAAACTGCTAGCTTCTTTAGATCTTTTCATGACCACCACTACCAGTGTCGGGCCCCGGGGGATTAAATCTCTGACCCCTAACTAAAGCATCTCATATGAGATTACAGCTTCACTCAGCGCTCTCGTCCTCTGCCGGGGTCCGAGCCCCAAACTCTAATGCCATTTATGTCATAACATTGTTGCTCGGATCATGTCAATAAACCTCCTAAATCAGGGCTATTCAACTAAATTGCATCCGGGGCCACAGCTAATGCAGGCCAACAGCTCAGGGGCCGAACATCCAGCAATTAAAGTTATTATGTAAATAAACTAAGTGTTACAAAGATCTGTCGTTTAGAGACCCTGAGATAACTCCTTGGCTGTGTTAGATTGAACATCAAGGTTAGTGCAACTCTGATTTATTATCATTATTATTATTATTACAATTAATCACCAGTTATAATGTTAAGTAAGCACAGTTGGTCGGTGGGTACACATTTGGTGAGCAAGGTGGCTACTTTTTGTGTTGGTGGTGGGGGGTTGTTTTTTCTGTTCTTTTTCTGTTCTATTCTGTTCTTTTTGTTTATTTTATTTCTTTACTATCATGTCATTGTTTTCTCTTATTTCTTTATTTCTAAAACAACAATTACTTGTACACAAGTGCACAAACCCACACATGCTCAAATTTCATACATCCAAATATTTAATAATATAACATATGCTTCATTTAACTTCCAACACATCACATACATTTTTTTATTATCTTACATGCTACATAGGTATTCTCAAAATCTTGACTAATCATCACTCACTGTCAATGACTGTCCCTGAGAGTCCCTACTGTTATGATAACGGGTGTGGTTTAATTTTATTCTCACAAATACTGCGATGGGTTGTTTAAGGTTTGTCACATGGAATATAAACGGAGCTGGTACCCAACAGAAAAGATATAGAATTTTTAACCAGCTTAAAAGATTAAAGGCATATGTTGTATTACTATAAGAAATTCACAAGTTAAATTCAACTGTGGATGATCTTAAATCTCCTGAGTTCCCTAACATACAGTGGTTTGCAAAAGTATTCATACTGTAGAAATGTGGAACACTTTTAAACTTTATTTTATGTTCTGTTAATAATCAGTTCATCTTGTATCCAAGGGGTTCAAAATCAGTAACCTTGTCACTGTTTAAATTTCACTGTGTGTGCGTCACTCTGGTCAAAAACATGTTTGAGGAACAGGGTCAAACTCTGGGTTCCTTATCGTTTCAAGGCTGTGCAGATAAATGGAACAATGGCGAGCAGGAGGCCGGCGTGACCACCTGCAGCG